ATGACACATTTTTACATAGAAAAATAGGCATGACTTTTCTGACAACCTAGTATCAATAAATCCTAATCTTCCTCCTGCCGAGAGCTAGCCTGCTTACCTGGCATCAGGGCATTCACTGAGTGGCTCAGTTCCTTTGAAACAGTTTTTTGGTCCACTGCCAGCTTCTGCCAGCCCCATATCATGGTACACATGTACCCAGCATATTCAGGGAGGTCTCCAGACACAAACCAGGAACCTTCCCATGCGGGTTGGCCTCACAGGGTGTGGTTACTGCTGCGCCACCATCCGGCCCCTCCTTCGAAGCATTCCTGATCATAAGTATCCACCAACACCTCCCATCCTGCAGTTCTAGAGCACTGCACATCAGCCTTCCTACCCCGTTTCTGATGGACTCCAACTCTGCATCCTGCCCTGGAGTCCTAGGGTTGAAGTCCATGGGAGTGCCAGAAGTTTTGGCAGTACAGGGTATGAATGGGCCATACTTGTCATATACCGGAAAATATTCCAAATCAGATCAGTCACAGACATGAGCTGGCCTGGGTCAAGCTCGGTTACATGCACTGGATGAAGAGTCACCAAAGCGATGTGTCAGCTGGCATCGTTCCAAGTGACCTGAGGCACCTGCACTCAGGGGCTACCTGAGGAACACATTTGGAGCAGATGTTGGCTTTAGGGGGAGGACACAGACTGCACCATGAGCATCTGAGCAGCACTGGATCCAGTTTTCAAATTTATCTCCATCTGTATGCTTGCTCTGGGTTATTCTATCCTTGGCATCATATCCTCGTCTGCTGAGGTCATGAGTGCTCACCATGTACCCAGGGCATTTTCACAGAAACTGGAGATCAGGTGTTTATTCATACCGGCTCTTGCAACAAGACCCAAGTCTGGAAATTGGAAGTCCGAATTTCCTTTTCTGACCCCACTTAGCTTCACAAAGAAGTATATTACAGAAGGTCTGTCAGGTGCTAGAGCACCTTCTCACCTATACTCATACATATGTGTGTGTGCGTGTGTGTGTGTGTGTGTGTGTGTGTGTGTGTGTGTGTATTAGAGAGAGATTTTTGCTCTAGGGCATGTGTGCTCACTGGAGTGAAAGAGAGACAGAAAGTGAAAAATCACCCCTAGGCCAGACCACCATCCCTTCTCCTCCATTTTCCTCTTGGGATCTTGGACACGCACATACATGCACCCAGCATGAGTTTTTTAAGTCATCAGGTCAGGCCACAAACCACAGACAACTACATGAGAGTTCAGTGATGTAACCATTAGACCATCTTCTGGTCTCCCTATATTCATATTGTCTTACGAGGTATAACTTTTTTTACCCTAAAGAATGAAAGTCAACAGGTCAGTATAAGAGTGAGAAGTTAGGGACCAGCCAGTGGCATGGTGGTTGGGGCAGCTGGATCCCACATGGCTGACCGTGTGGTTCAAGTCTGTCTTGAAAAGCATGTGGCGTTGGGACCAACAGATGGTGTAATGGTTATGTTGTTGGATTCCCATGTAGTCAACCACAGTTCAAGTCCCAGACCTGGAGGCTTAAAACTCATGCCTGGTGAGTGTGCATCCGTGCCCAAGATCCCAAGAGGAGAAAGGAGGAGAAGGGATTGCAGTGTGGCCATCCCCCCTGGGGGGTGATTTCTCGCTTTCTGTCTCTCTGTCTCTCCACAAGCACCTATAACAAAAATCTCTCTCAAAATAAATAAATAGTGAAAAACACATGGGGTATGTGTGCATGTGTGCCCAAATCCCAAGAGGAAAATGAGAAGGGATTATAGCATGACCTTCCCCCCTAGGGAGGTGATTTCTCACTTTCTCTCTCTCTCTCTGTCTCTCCTGCAAACAGAGTTACATAAAAACAAATAAAAAATTTTAAATTTTTTAAGTGAGAAATGGAATCAAATGTTTTCTGAGCAAATTATTATATATATTTATATATATATATTATATGTGTATATATATATATGTATATTCACACACACACACACAATTTTTTTAATTATTTTATTTAACTTTATTTATTTATTTTTCCATTTTACCAGAGAGGGACAGAGTGAGAAAGAGAGAGAGAGAGAATGTGAGAAAGCAAGCCACCAGGTTCTTATATTTCTAAAGCCAGGTTTATTGATATATAATTTTGGTTGTATGAGTTTTGTAATTTATGGATTTTTATTTAGTTTTCACATTTAAAAACTTTTGTAATTGTGGTAAAATAAATGTAACATAAAAGGTACCACCCTAGAGGCCTGCAGATACATAGTGATTAAGGTGCTGGACTCCCACATGGCTGAATGTGCGGTTAGAGCCCTGGACCTGGTGGCTTGAGAATTACTTTAGGCATGGGTATGTGCGTGCTCAAAATCCCAGGAGGAAAATGGAGAAGGAGAAAGGATTGCAGCATGGCCATCTCCCCTGGAGGATGATTTCTCACTATCCCTCTCTCTGTCTCGATCAGCACATGTGCCCTAGGGCAAAAACCTTTAAAAAAAAATCATCCTAACCATTTTTACTGTACAGCTCAGCAGTGTTAAGTACATTAACACTGGCCAACCAGCCTCCAGAACGCTTCATCTTGTGAAACATCTGTACCCATTGGACAACTGCCTGTCTGTCCCCTCCCTTTCCTCCCTCCCGCAGCCTCTGTCACTGTGGATGTAACTATTCCAGATACCTCATAAAAGTGGAATCATAGTATGTGTCCTTTTGTGACTGGTTTATTTCACTTAACATACTGTCTTCGAGGTTCATCCATGAGTCAGAATTTACTTACTTTTTAAGGCTGAGTAATACCACATTTTGTTTATTCAGTCATCTGTCCATAGACACATGGCCTGCTTCCACCTTTAGATTATTGCAAATAATGTGGCTATGAATATAGGTGTACAAATACCTCTTCAAGACTGTTATTTCTGTGATGTGGGTTGTTTTGTTTGTTTGTTTGTTTGTTTGTTTTTTAATTGAGCAAAGGAATGAGCCTACGAGTATACTATGCTGCCTATCTTGGTATTTTGTATCATTTGGGAAAAGTCAAGAATACAGCACTAATTTCACCAGGTAATAGCTGTGATGGCCTCTTACTGTATCCACTCTCCGAGGGCTTCCGGTGCTCTTCTTCAGCGATATGTGAGTGCTTTGAGAACTGCCATTAAAAAGAAAGAGGCAGTCATTCAGCTCCGGCTCAGTGATCAAGACACTTGGATCAGGGACACAACTGGCAGTGACACCATTGCATTTCCCCTCACCTGGGCAGACTGGAAGTCCCATGCCCTCCTCCCTCAGGCCAAGAAGGCACCAGGTCCAAGAGAGAAGTTCATAGTGTCCAGTCACAATGTCCCCCATCCCCGTGTGCCCATCTCACTGGCAAACACTGCAACTGACATCTGTGAGCCTGCTTCAGGAGGGAGAGTCAGAAAGTCAGGGGCCAGCTGGTGGGGTGATGGTGAAGGTGGCCGTGTCTCACATGTCTAGCAGCATAGTTCAATCCCTGGACCTGGTGGTTTGAAAAACATACCAGGCGCACATGTGCACATGCCCAGAGTCCCAAGAGGAAAATGGAAAAGAAGGGATTGCAGCATGGCCATCCCCCTGGGGGGGTACTTTCTCGCTTGCCCTGTCTCTCTGGCAAGCACACATGCCCTATAGCGAATTTTTTAAAAAGGAAGAAAAACCTGCCAAGTGCATGCTTATATATGCCCCCAAATCTCAAGAGTAGAATGGAGGAAAAGGATTACAGCATGGACATCCCCCCCTGGAGGGTGCTTTCTCACACATCCTATCTCTCTGTCGAGCACATATGCCCTATCCCAAATTTTAAAATTAAAAATAAAAAATAGAAAGATAGCAAGGGCTGAGAGATTGCTGAAATAATTGAACTAGTTGATCAAAGAAGCGATCTGTGAATGAATCTTAGAGGAA